GCTCTAACAAGTAGGGCCTCTGATTCCTCCTGTTTTCAATTGTATTGTAATTGTACTGTTTGCCCTCACGTTGTAAAGTGCTGCGCAAACTGTCGTGCTATATAAATCCAGTATAATAATATTCATGCAACCTAACAGAAATTGTCATTTTCTCCCCTTGTACCCTCCCTCCCTGTATTAAAAAAAATTGAGCTGAAGTTTAATTTCTTTTTTGTCTAAACAAATAGGAAACCAATAGCTGTTTACCTCCAGGGCTATTAAATACAAAATTATTATTGTGCTGTGCTACTTTCATTTTAGTAGTTAGCCTTTATTCATTGTACACTGTCTCTAGTGCTTTGCAACTACCTTTTTGCTATTTATTCTCTATTTTTAAACAGGTTTTCTGAAGGCTTTTGCCAGGGAAAATCTCCCAATCTGCCCTTGATCTTCAAATGCAATCACTGTCATTTTCAGTTTTATGATCAGTTTGCCCAGGTTCACTCCGGAATAATTTTTTTCTTGTATTCTAAAGCTGAAAAATGTTTAGTTTGTTTTTACATTTCCCTGTTGCATTTCTAGTGGAAAAATAGTTTTAAATCTAAAAATTATATTTGATATGTGCAATTGATTTTTTTTACAGTTTTTTTTTTTTTCTTTTTAGATGTGATCATCTTGGCATAATGTAAAATGTGTGCTATAAAGAATGTGTGCTATAAAGAATGTGTGATATAAACAAACATTTAAATTGTATTTCCAGTTTTTCTCCAACTATTAGAACCCCGATCAGGTTTTACTGCTATCCAGGGCTCTGCTAGAAGATTTTATTCTCTGTTCTCATTTTGCTTCTTCTTGCTGGTTTTACCAGACAATGTGGGGGAAAATCTGCAACAGAGACATAGAGGGCCCCCCACTCTATGCAAAAAGTTTGGATGGACATACCATTTAATAAAGGGTGTACCTTTGGAAAATTATTTATTGAGATTTGGTTTTTCTAGTGTTGGAGCTAAGCAGAAACTGTTTTTCTGTTTGGCTTTCCCTTCCTGATTAACTTTTGCATGTAAAGTTACGCTTGAGCTAGTGTGCTCTATAAACAGGCTTCTTTTAACAGAGCACCTACTAGCTGCATAGGAAAAAGCTAAATATTAACCCCTTCCTGGCAGCTGTACACACATATGGGGCAAGTCAGTGGTGGGTGGGGACCCCTAATGTCTCCTTAAAGAGAACCTGTCCCCTGCACTATGCTATCAGCTCCATTGTGATTAAAATTAAACAAAAAAAAGTTATAAAAATAATAATTAAAAAAACACCTTTTTAAAAACCCTACCCTCACATACATGCACATCTAAGTTAAAAAAAAGCATGTAAGGTTGCCATGCATATGGAAACACTGATTGCGCCACACGTATTGGGTATCGCTATGCAAACCCGTGTGGGAGCAATAATTCTAGGGCCATCATTCACTGTTAAATATAAACTGATGATCTTTTAAAAGTTTTTAAAACGTCACCTATGGACAGTTTGGGGAAGCCTAGTTTTTTGCCATTTTCACGGGCACTTGCAATTTTATGGTTTGACTTTAATTGGTATCTTTTTTACTTGACACAACCTCATCTTTTATATTTAAAAAAAAAAATAGGTATTGTGTAGTAAAATTAATTTGAGTGTATATTCTACTGAAAATATAGATTTGATAAAAGGTAGTGCAATTATCGTTGCACATAAAAAATGCAGTTTTACGGGGTCTCTTCTGTCAAATAATGTTTAATATTTTGGGGGGGTTTAAGTAGTCTTCAGGCCAAATGCAGCCAATGTGCATTTTAACAAACAAAAAGAAAATGGCTCTGGTAGGAAAAGGGTTAAGGACATTCACAAGCGGTTCCAGGAAACAAGTGAAACCAGTGAAATACTAATCTAGAAACCGTGCAGCTGTATGCAATTCAGAAAGTTCACTAGCTTGAACTGAAAGTGGAAATACCATGAAAAGTGAAGATTGCTATGTTATAGGCAACATCTGAAATTTAATTTTGTCTAAGTAATAACCTGAAAAATGCCCCTTTTGTCCTTCTGAAAAATAGTAGTGCATTTCCTGGAATGTGAGGGTACCTATGCACTCCTGTGCCTTCAGCATCAAAGCTGTATGCCTACAGTGTAAGATCTAAGTTCCTACTGCCTCTGACTGTTATTCTCAGGAGATTTAAAAAAAGATTTAGTGATGTGACTGCTGTGCTGCTTATTGTTCTCCCAGCTGGAGGCTCTGACCTGAGGAAGCAAAACCCTGCCTCTACCAAGATGGCCACCTCCACATAGAGACTGAATACAAAACAAGTCAGTAATGGAGAAAAGATCAGCTGCAGAGAGACCACGGGTAATACTGGTGACTTGTCGTTTGCCCTCTGCCCATTTTTTCCTTTTTTTATTGCCACAGCTTCTGGGTTCTTAGGGTCTGGCTGCTTGAACGGCCAAGCCGCGATGATGTCACCTCCACAAGGGCCTCAGCCGCCACGGCATAGAGCTCTGAGGGAACTGCATACCTGTGTCTGTGCCAGTGATATCACTGGCTGCAGGGACACTGAATATCTCCTAAACAGTGCATGTTTAGGAGATATTCCTTTATTCTAAGCTTACCTCTAGGTACATGTGTCCAGTGGGAGTTCACTACCACCGTATTCTGAGTCCTGTATGTGAAAGTGTGTCACTAGGATAGTGCTGTCCGAAGCCTGTGCTGTGTAACTTGCTTTTTGTCTACTTGTATCAGATCAAACCAGTTGCTGATGAACTGTGTGGTAACCGCTTCCTGTCCGCCCTATAGCAGAAATACTGCTACAGGGCGGCATGGGTGCGCAAAATCACGTATATATAGGTGATTTTGCATTTCCGGGTAGGTGGCACATGCCGCCATTCACGGCCTTGACTGTCAATCACCGGGTCCTGGCCGGTGATTGCCGAGTATCTCCGTTGGGAGGGAGAACTGTTTGTAAACAAAACAGTTCTCTCCTCCTGTCAGCTTCTGCACACTGCTTTGCATGAAGTGAAGCATGCGCACACAGCACACAGTTAACCCTTTGATCGCCCCAGATGTTAACCCTTCCTGCCCAGTGCCATTAATAGAGCGTCAGTGCTTTTTATTAGCACTGATCACTGTACTGGTGTCACTGGGGATGTCAGTGACACTAAGTCAGTTCCCCCCAGTGTCAGAATGCCCGCCGCAGTCCCACTATAAGTTGCTGATCGCCGCCATTACTAGTAAAAAGAAAATCCCAGTATATATACCGCCATTTGTAAACGCTATAACTTAAACCAATTAATTTACACGTATTTGGATTTTTATTTAGCAAAGACATGTCGCAGAATACATTTTGGCCTGAATGTATGACGACATTTTTTTACTGGATATGTTTAATAGCAAAGAGTCAAAAATATAGTTTTTTTTTCCTCAAAATTGTTGGTCATTTTTTTAGTTATAGCACAAAAAATAAAACCACAGAGGCGATCAAATACCACCGAAAGAAAGCTCTATTCGTGGGAAAAAAAGGACGTCAATTTCGTTTATTATTATACAATATTTATAAAGCGCCAATAGTTCGCTCAGCGCTGTACATTACAAAGGGGGACAGAACATGTGACAGACAATACCAATACAATGCAAAACATGAGGGGATCGAGGGCCCTGCTCTTTCGAGCTTACAATCTAGGAGTTTAGGTGTAGTGTTGCATGACCGTGCAATTGTCAGTTAAAGTAACGCAGCGCTGTATTGCAAAATTGGCCTGGTGAGGAAGGGGGGTAAATCCTCAGGAGGACAAGTTATTGGTCCGTATATCCAACAATTTAATGATAATCCAGTTTGCATACTTTGTTTTTTAGCCCGATGAATGCGATGGGCCTTGCCTCCAAAAAAGTGTTGGCTTTGTGTAGTCTTCTATTCTGACTTTACGTTGGAATAAAAATTATATTTGGGCTACATCATGATGTGGTTCTTCACATCTACCCCTTTTTAGGCCCCATTTACATCTGAGTAGTACATGAACATGCAAAAAAAAATGTCATTATACATTGTTTTGGTTTGTTTTTTTTTCTTGAAAATTCTATTTATTGAGTTTATGACAAGAACAATACAATACTAAGACAAACACAGTGTAAGGTACCATAAACAATACCCAAACAAAAAGTCACAGTGTAAAAAAGGTTAAACAAAAACACTGGTCTCGCAGGACCACTATATCCCCGATGAAGAGCCACCCCACACACACACACACTTCACGCGACAACATCCCCCCCCCCTTTTCTTAGACAAAATACACAGAAAAGGTAAAACAATGCAAAGAAGCTCAGGATAACAGTATGCTAGGTAATATCAATGCCACAGAAGGCAGCAGCCACATCAGGGAAATCATGGTTACCAGAACATCAAAAGCCCTAGCACAAGGTTTATAAGGCAGAGAGTTAGCAGGTAGGTCTATTGACTGCAAAAGGACCTCCAGCACCATCCACAACACAACCCAACCAGACACCCATGTGGAACTAACCATTCGTCTCTACCGCAGAGGTCCAACAACCTCCAACTTTTTCAAATTTCTTGAGACAACCCTAACTCAAATATGGGCCCTTATAGAACGATGATGTGGCATTCACTAGTCCCTTCCAGGTTTGTAGTGAGGGAGCAAAGGGTTTCTTCCATTGTACGATAATGACTTTACGGACATAATAATGCAAAATGCTTGGCAGGGTTTTAACCACTTCCAGACCGGACACTATTACCCCCTTCCTGACCAGGGCAATTTTCAGCTTTCAGCGCTATCACACTTTGAATGACAATTGCGCGGTCATGCAACACTGTACCCAAATGAATTTTTTACCATTTTTTTGAGACAGATAAAGCTTTATTTTGGTGGTATTTATTCACCGCTGGGATATTTATTTTTTTTTGCTATGTAAATGAAAATGTCCAAAAATTTTGAAAAAAGGTGGTTTTTTTTTATAAAATTTTGCAAATAATATTTTCATCATAAATCCTGGCCACAATTTATTCCGTTATCTTTTTAGTAAAAAAAAAAAAAAAATCCAAATTAGTTTATAACCAAAAATTATAATTTTTAAACATTTTCTTTTACATTTTTATTTTATTTTTTTATATTATTATTTATTTTTTATATATTTTTTTTTTTTTTTTTTACATACAATCACCCTAGCAGTCACCATGGTGACACTGTACTACTTGTAGGGGGGTAATGAAGATTTTTTTTTTACACTGATTGCCTTTACACCCATATAGGATGTAAAAGCAATCATTTCTCTTTCTCTCTGTCTGCATTCTTGCAGTCATTGAGAAGTACTGAGTGAGCTGTGATTGGTCACAGCTTGTCACATGGTACAAGCCTGTTGTGAATAGCCTTGTACCATGTGACCTCAGTGATCATTCACAGATTTCACACGTAGTAAGCAATGATGTCAGAAGTGACATCTTGCTTACTACTTTGCATGTGATCACTGATTGGCCAATCAGCGATCACATGATCGGGACCTCGGATAGAGGTCCTGTCTGACGATCGGTGTTTCACTGTGTCCGGAGGACACAGCGGGGCACCGGATCGCGGTGCTGCGCGGAGCGCGCGCAAGCAGGGTGCGGGGAGGCCGTTTATAAATGGCCACCCGACCCTGCACTGCCACCGTCCGGCCGTTTATATACAGCGGCCGGTCGGGAAGTAGTTAAGGGGTACAGTATTGGCCCGTCCTTCTATCAGACCCAATAGAAAAACCAATGACCATGTGTAAAATTAACCCGCGCCTAAAAAATTATTATATAATCCAAATAATGAATGCCGCTGTTCATAGGTAAAAACCACCAAACATAGAAATAGTATTACAGCACCAAAATTCAACAAACAATAATAATTATGCCATCAGTGATAAATAATTAAAATAATATAAATGATAATAATGAAAAAGTCCACTGTCCCAAATAAAATGATGATAAAGTGCTTCAATCAGAAAAACGGTGTAGAAGAAAAACAAATATGTTCTTTAACCCCTTGACGCTGACGTAACACAAATATGCGGCCTCACAGAACTGGGCTTTTTTCCGTGGGGCCACATATTTGCGTACCTGATTTTCTGCTAGGATCACGCCGCGCGGCAAGTTCCCAGCACAAAGACCATGGTGTAACTGAGAGCAACAAGTCCCGTTCTAACGATCAAGACCTGGGAATCTTTATTTCGGGTCACATGATCGCTGTGATAGCCTCTGATTGACTATCACAGTGATCAGTCACTGTACAGCCCGGCCCCCCTTGTTTTTTTTTCTCTCTATGAATGCATACATTGTATCTCTCTAACTCCTGGCATAGCGGGGGGAAAAAAAATGTTTGTTAAAAAAAAAAAAAAGAAAATAAATAGATATTAAAAAATAAAGAAAAAATGCTTAGACCAATGTTTGATCTAGTTCAGTACCAGGGTAAGTGTTTGGGTCAAAGGGCAGGATTTAAAAAAATGCTGTCAGTGTCCATGTGTTTTAGGTAAAAAAAAAGACAAAAACAAAATGCTCACTTATGTTTCTGGGCTGTTCTACGGGTACAGACAACAAATAACATAGACATATATGGTATCACTGCGATCGTCAAGATCTGGAGAATTTATTTTGGGTTGTTATTTGGTGGTAGGTTATGGTAGTAACAAGAAACACACAGCTATATTTAAAAAAATGATTTTCTTTTTTATTATTTTGGGCCAGTTTTCCTTTGATAATAAAAAAACATCAGGAGATATCCATTACCATTTACCACCAAATGAAAGCTCAATTAGTCCTGAAAATAACAAGGTATAATTCACCTGGATGTACAAAGTAGTTGTGCTGATATGTATGGTTTTACTAACACATGTCAACGTTGCAAAATTGTGCTTAGGCATTATTTTTGTTTTACTCTTAGGCGTGAAGGGGTTAAATAATATCCCCACACCATCCATGACCACCTTCCGGTACGATCCACGCTCACCAGATTTGATGGACTCTTAGCTTGTATGGCTTAAGAGTCAAATAAGCTTTTATGGTAAAGTGTGTTCTCCAGAATGAACCAGATCAGGACAGAAAGTGCTTGCTGACCAATCAGAACTATTCTGATCTGTCACTGTGTCCCTAGAGAAAGAACAGCGCATTTTTCAAACTCCAGGATGGCTGCTGCATGGACAATGAAACTAAATCACCCATGGAGATAAGTATAGCAGGGACCGGGGCTGGGTGTAGGGTGTAAAAGTGGTCATACATGGATCGAAATTTGGCTGGTTCAGCAGGGGCTGGCCCAATTTCAATCTGATCTACTTCTGTTCAACCTCCCTGTTGTCTAAATCCACTTGATCAGTGTCGCAGGCAGTAGGCTTCAGCGCTGATCTGGGTATTCTCCCTGCTGTCAGAATACAGTGACACAGCAGGGAGGATTCCCCTCAACCACATCAAATGTGTGGATGAGGGAATTCGGTCATTTTTTTTCATTCAGTATATAGGAAACAAAAAAGTGGGCTCATGGGCCTAGTGCATTACCTTTAAAAATTAGATTTATTATAAATAGTAAAATACTCACAAGAGAAATAAAATCTAATGGAAAGCATGTCACAGAGGAGGCAATGTGGTCTAAAACCCCTGGAAGTGGTCTGGCGGGGGACTGGAGACCTCTAGATAGCTGGTGGCTGATGCGTTTTGAGGTTGTACGTCTTCCTCAGAGCTGACCACATTACAGTGGGGCAAAAAAGTATTTAGTCAGCCACCAATTGTGCAAGTTCTCCCACTTAAAAAGATGAGAGAGGCCTGTAATTGGCATCATAGGTAGACCTCAACTATGAGAGACAAAATGAGAAAAAAAATCCAGACAATCACATTGGCTGATTTGGAAAGAATTTATTTGCAAACTATGGTGGAAAATATTTCCACCATAGTTTTCTGGCTCTCACAGACCTGTACCTTCTTCTTTAAGAGGCTCCTCTGTCCTGCACTCATTACCTGTATCAATGGCACCTGTTTGAACTTGTTATCAGTATAAAAGACACCTGTCCACAACCTCAAACAGCCACACTCCAAACTCCACTATGGTGAAGATCAAAGAGCTGTCGAAGGACACCAGAAACAAAATTGTAGACCTGCACCAGGCTGGGAAGACTGAATCTTCAATAGGCAAGCAGCTGGTGTGAACAAATCAACTGTGGGAGCAATAATTAGAAAATGGAAGACATAAAGACTACTGATAATCTCCCTCGATCTGGGGCTCCACGCAAGATCTCACCCCGTGGGGTCAAAATGATCACAAGAACAGTGAGCAAAAATCCCAGGACCACACGGGGGGACCTAGTGAATGACCTGCAGACAGCTGGGACCAACGTAACAAAGGCTACCATCAGTAACACACTACGCCGCCAGGGACTCAGATCCTGCAGTGCCAGACGTGTCCCCCTGCTTAAGCCAGTACATGTCCGGGCCCGTCTGAAGTTTGCTAGAGAGCATTTGGATGATCCAGAAGAGGATTGGGAGAATGTCATATGGTCAGATGAAACCAAAATAGAACTGTTTGGTAGAAACACAACTCGTCGTGTTTGGAGGAGAGAAGAATGCTGAGTTGCATCCAAAGAACACCATACCTACTGTGAAGCATGGGGGTGGCAACATCATGCTTTGGGGCTGTTTCTCCGCAAAGGGACCAGGACGACTGATCCATGTACAGGACAGAATGAATGGGGCCATGTATCGTGAGATTTTGAGTGCAAACCTCCTTCCATCAGCAAGGGCATTGAAAATGAAACGTGGCTGGGTCTTCCAACATGACAATGATCCCAAACATACCGCCCAGGCAACAAAGGAGTGGCTTCATAAGAAGCATTTCAAGGTCCTGGAGTGGCCTAGCCAGTCTCCAGATCTCAACCCCATAGAAAACCTTTGGAGGGAGTTGAAAGTCCGTGTTGCCCAGCGACAGCCCCAAAACATCACTGCTCTAGAGGAGATCTGCATGGAGGAATGGGCCAACATACCAGCAACAGTGTGTGCCAACCTTGTGAAGACTTACAGGAAACGTTTGACCTCTGTCATTGCCAACAAAGGATATATAACAAAGTATTGAGATGAACTTTTGATATTGACTAAATACTTATTTTCCACCATAATTTGCAAATAAATTCTTTCCAAATCAGCCAATGTGATTGTCTAGATTGTTTTTTCTCATTTTGTCTCTCATAGTTGAGGTCTACCTATGATGCCAATTACAGGCCTCTCTCATCTTTTTAAGTGGGAGAACTTGCACAATTGGTGGCTGACTACATACTTTTTTGCCCCACTGTACATCCTCTGTGACATGCTTTCCATTTGATTTTATTTCTCTTGTGAGTATTTTACTATTTATAACTAATCTCATTTTTAAAGGTAATCCACTAGGCCTGTCTGCCCTCTTTTTGTTTCCTATATACAGTTCTCTTTGGATTTCCCTGGTCTGTTGAGGGCAGCAAGGCTTGCATTCCTTTCATACTCATGTGGGGATTTTGACATTGTGGTGTCCACTGTTCAGCGCAGGAGTACATGCATTTGGTTTCTTTATTCTTCTTTCTAGATTTTTTTCATTTAACCTTTCTGTATATAGCTTTCTGTATAAGATCAACTTCAAGGAGTCTGCGGTGGGTGTGTCTGAGAATTTCTGTCCTGATTACAAGCAGGGATTCTCGGACCACCAGATTACCCGAACACAGAAATATGTGGACTGTTGCATTGCAGTAATGTCTGGATGAAAAGTGAGGTACCGAGCAGTCCTTCAGGCTTTACTAGTAGCCATGAGGGATTTCACTTTAAATACAAAGTCGACAATAGCAGCTTCAATATTTCCGTTATCACAGGTTCAGTTTAAGCAAAGTGTAGATACAGAGCCCAGGGTGACCTACTGATTACAGTTCATTGTTAAGCACACTTGTGCAGGTATTAATGGAAATAGTGCAGGAAAATGATATAATCAATGCACTCTCTCTCTCTCTTATAATGAGTATTGATTGTATTAGAATAGAAAACTTGGCTCAAATGTAAGTAGAAATAAAAAAACGGAATGAAACTCCTTTCTATTTCCCAAAATGTTCCTTTTATAGGAAACCATTTACACATAAAATATTTTCTAGAAGCTGATTATTATGAGTTTTACATGGAGTCCTCGTGCACACTGGACAATTTAACAGCGGTTGTTTTTGGCTTTTGATGTTTTTTTTCTACAGCCAGTAAACCCCCCAGCATGTTATCCTATGTGTCCATGCACACATAGACTGTAATCAACGTTTTTTTGGCTGGAAAAAAAACCCAGAACTAGTGTTTTAGCTAGTTTTTAGCTGTAAAAACACTTTAATGTTGAAAAAACGCGACAAAACGCGATAAATCGGTGGGGGGGTTTCAGTTAAAAAAAAAACCGCTGAAGAATGCAAACGTGAAAAAACGCCACTAAACCTTAATGCAAAAATTCTGAAAAATGTTATTAAAATGCACAGTGTGCATGGAGCCTGAAACTCAAAGTTTGTATAAATGGATACATAATGCAAAATTACATTATTATTATTATTATACAGTATTTATAAAGAGCCAATAGTTCGCTCAGCGCTGTACATTACAAAGGGGGACAGAACATGTGACAGAACAATACCAATACAATGCAAAACATGAGGGGATCGAGGGCCCTGCTCTTTCGAGCTTACAATCTAGGAGGGAGGGGAGGGTGGCACAGGAGGAGATAGCTGTGGGGGATGGAGTGGTAGGAAGAGTGGAGGAGGTTGGCAAGTTAGCAGGGGGTGGGGTAGGCTTCCCTGAAGAGATGGGTTTTCAGGGTGCACCTAAAGGAGAGGAGAGTAGGTGATAATCTGATGGGTTGGGGCAGGGAGTTCCAGAGGATGGGTGACACCCTGGAGAAATCCTGGAGGCGGGCATGGGAGGAGGAGACCAGGGAACTAGAGAGAAGGAGGTCTTGTGAGGAGCGGAGTGTGTGTGCTGGGCGGTACTTGGATATTAGGTAATAAAAAAGGTATACAACATATCATTTGTCCTAATAAACCCATGTCGCTAGAAAAATAAGTATGTTTTAAGTTTAATTAAAGGCCAACTGAATTCACAGAAATTATGCTACAAAGCTTAATTTTCATAGTCTTGCTGCCTGTTGTCCGTTACAGCAGTTGTGCAAGGGCAGCACAGTGGCTAAATGGTTAGCACTTCCGCCTGGCAGTACTAGGGTCATTGGTTCGAATCCCAGCCACGGCACCACCTGCCTGGAGTTTACATGTTCTCCCTGTGCCTGTGTGGGTTTCCTCCGGTTACTCCGGTTTCCTCCCACACTCCAAAGACATGCTGGTAGATGAATTGGTTCCTGTCTAAAATTGTCCCTAGTATGTGTATGTATGAATGTGAGTTAGGAACCTTAGACTGGACTGATGTGAATGTACAATATATATATGTAAAACTTCTATAGTGCTGAGTAAATTGAGCACTATAGAAGCACCTGAAATAAATAAATAAAATAGGCAGTCTAAACATGACTTTGCATTCTAAGAGATACAAGATCTAGACCCAGTGCTCTCAATAATCAGCACTCCGTAACAGAGCTAATCAGACACCACCCTTCTCTGTAGTATACAGTATGTCTATATGATTACTGGAGTGTGTGGCTATTACTCACCTCTGCCAGCATTGAGCGATGTCTGCAGTACTGTCTCATTAGTTAAACCATAGGCCTCTGGGAGTCCCTTGTCTCGTGCTTAACTTAAGAAAGAAGCTTGCTTATAGAATATTAAAAAAGGTATCTGAACATTCAAAAGCTGAACCAGTCCAATAGAAAAAAAACAATTCAGTCAAGTATGTGTTTAAAAAAGGTGTGTTTTTATAAGTAACTAGTGTAAGAGAATTGTAGGTCAATCTTGAAAGACTAGCAGTGCCTTAGATCTCCCATTTTAGATATAC